TGTACCAAATTTCAGATCAATCTGACAACAGGAAGGTACTTAAATTTCAATTTCTAATTTTGACCCAAATAAACAAACAAATAAATAAATACCGTACGGGTCGAGCTAAATAAAACCGTTTAATAAAAATGCTAATGTTTATCTGTGTCGTCTCTACTGAAGTAACGACTTGCTCTAGAAAGTTGCTTTTTTTACTAAAAGATAGCTAATTGGCTCTCCTAAAAACTGTCGTCGCCGGATTTTTTGTTTTTCATTTAATTAAAAAAATTATAAAAAGTATTTTTTTCCTGATGTCGATGTCGTGGCGGATGCGCCAGGCTTCAACTCGTGTAAATATAAATTACTAAATCATGACAGTTGTGTGGGTCATTTTAATACATAGGTAAATTGCATTTTCTGTCATTCTTTGGATGACCGTCTGTCTAAGTCTTCCCTAATCTGTTGGACAGTGAAAATGTATTAAACAGCTAACTCCATTATTCCTAATTTTACAGAAGAGCAAAAAAAACGGTACAAAAAAATAGGTACACATGTATATAGCAAGTATATTCATATGATAAAGAGATAATAATATTTGTTCGGGAACAATAAAACTCAATATTTCATTAAAAATTTAACGTAAAAATTATGTATTAAACGTATTATTTAATTAACGTAAAAAATGGAGTTTAGCAGGTTAACACATTTCACTGACGATATGACGTGATAGTAATTTTAATTGCATCTACATAAGCATGTAGTTATTTAATAAAATTTCTAATTGTAAACAAGCTAATAAGACTGACTTAAAACCTTATACCAGTTGTCCTTAGAAGTGTATCAACCCCGCAAAAAAAATAACCGATCATTTCTGAAGGAAATTCATTAATATGTAGTTTAATCGACAAACCGTAAACGATAATCCCGAATATGCACGTACGGCTTTTTCCCGTCACTTAGAAAATAATTTGCCGTGATTTTTTTGTACATAGATTTCGAAACGACGCCGACGCCCAGTAGAATATCGATTTAAAATATTAAATAGTAAAGGTTTCTTGAAAGGCTAACGTGGAGAATAATGCTCGTGTTAATTTTTTTCGTCTAATAATTAAATCTTTAAAATGACCTTAATTCATAACGGCATATATTGACTACGCTATTATGTCTGTAAAGGCGAGACAATTACTTTGTTCTATTATTTTATAGTAATATTACGCTAACAATTACCGATTAAATAATCGAGTACTACAGGGTGATAATATATCTACACAGACAACACACAATTTGTATTAGATATTTGTATCACTTGTATGCTCTTCCTATTATCCACTACACTTCTTAACGGATGCACATATTTTTAGGGCTGGTAAATCTCGATAAAAGAAACATAATATTTTCTCTTTACCGTTTTTCAAATAAGTCGAGTCCAAAATAATGGAGTTATTTTATTTTTATTTTGAAAATTAAAAAAAAATAATTGTTTAAATTTTGTGAACCACTGGATTTTTTCTGTTTTTTTTTCTTCTAAATTTAATCTACTACCTACGTTGTCATATCATAATGTTATGATTTTTAACTAAACATTAAAAAAACATTCAATTTTTTATTCCGAAAATACAAATTTTTCAAAAAGAATACTCGCGAAAAACCCTCATAGACGCGTTTCTGGTGTCGAAATATACTACCCCGAAAAATATTTGCACTTATGTAAGACTCACTCTGTATATACAGGGTGAGTCTTAAATAAGTGCAGATATTTTTAGGAGTGAAATATTTCGACACCAGGAATACGTCTATGAGTTTTTTTGCGAAAAAATAATTTTGAAAATTTGCAATTCTTTGAGAAAAATTTACAATTCTTTGAGAAAAATTTTGATTTTTTTTTAGTTTTTGGTTAAAAACTATAATATCTTGATAATATGGCAACAGTAGATAATAGATTAAATTTACAAAAAAGAAAAACCCAGAATTTTTTTTTTGAAAACAGTTTTTGAAAACAGTTTTTATGATATACTCTGTTTTTTTTCTCAGGTAAGATTTCGACAGACGACGACAGAAGAGACGCAGATGACGTCCCATACCAATCTATTTATTTTACTAAAAAAAGTTTCTAATAATTTTTAAGTTAACTATGGATGGGTTTAAATATAAATCCGTCATGCGTCGTCTCTTGTTGTTTTTAACCAGTTTTATTGGTTTATTTCAAAAATGACAGATCGTATTTCAATTTTATTGGTTCGACGGAACGATGAACGACAAACGGACGCCGATGCGTATGAACTCGCCTTTAGATTTTTGATGCTTGTCAAAGTCTTGCCAAATTAGAGGTTATAATTTTGTGTCAACTTTTGTCGGTTTTGTCAAATACCCTGCGTTTTGGAAGATGATGCATTTTGATTCGTGTTATTACGTGTGTTTTGTGTCTTTTGAAGTCAAGTGGAGGAAAAATCGAGTGAAAATTAACTGTAGACCCAGAGCACAGTTTATGGTTAATACTCGCTGCCCAGGCAAAAAGTCTTATACACCAATAAAATTACCATCATTAAAGTTCGTATACCATCTCGTCGTAGATAAGTGCATCTCGAATATGGTAGAAGGACTATACTAAACACATACTAAAAACTGGAGTAGCTGTATAATATCGACATCACACGATACGTAAATAATGGATTTTAGTACTGCACAAGAAAAATAATGCCAAAGGTACTGGTTTAAAAAATTAAGATTAAAGTTAATTAATCAACCTTTAAGGTACCCATAAAATTTGGTAAGTGTTATTAATAATAAAAAAGTTTGTTTTATTTATGTTGTTTTATTTATTCCTGTGGAATATTACAAATTTATATTTGTACATAAGTTATATTGATAAATATAATCATAAATGCAGGAAGTTTCATGAAGCTTGAAAGTAAGAAATAGTTCTTTTTTATATTTTTTTGGTATGTCATATAATTGTTCTTGTTTGTTTTGTATTAACACATGCCGTTTTTTCTTAAATAAAATAACTCGATTACATTTTTTTAGTTTTATACAATTTTTTCACAATATTTTGAAGTAATCACTTGTCAGTCAAATTTTAAATATAATAATTTCCTGCTATGCGTTCCAGTTGTACCAACTTATTTCTTTGTAAAATAAAATAAACTACTTTGAAATTAAAATGACAGACACATCTATCACTGTCAAGGATCTTCTCGTTGGACAGACTATACATGATTTAAACAAAAAATATTTTTTTTATTTTCAAAGTAAAATAGCTCGCTTATCTTCGACTTATTTGAAAAACGGTAAAGAGAAAATATGTTTCTTTTATCGAGATCTACCAGCCCTGAAAATATTTGCACTTATTTAAGACTCACTCTGTATAATTTCTTACTAGTGAAAATGTATAATTATATGTATAATGTATTTCATTATTCTTCATATTTTTAATCGGGAAACAATCTCACGACAAAAAACAACAAAAGAAAATACAGAAAAGCAAATCTTAAAAAAACTTAATTCAAAATTGCGTATATTCAAATTTGTCCAGAACTGTATAAAAAAGTTTCTATGACGTAAGTTCCAACTCGGAAGTATAAATCAAAAAATAGTATTTAACTCGTTCCTTAGTTTTTTTGTTGAATGTTGATAAGTTACTGACATGTTACCAAGTTACTGTTACCAAGTTACTGACATCCACATACCAAATTTCAACACTTTATTATAAATCGCATTTGAAAAAAGGCGATATGACCAAATTTACCAAATCCAAATTTAATGCAAAAATCCTATCATTCCTCCTGACTTGTTTCGCATGTTTTAATTTACACCCTGTATAGGGGTTTTCCAAATTATATCTGTTGTTTTTGATATTTTTAATGATTTTTCACACATAATATAATATTAAAAAAATCAATTGAATTCAAGTAGCGTCAACTAAATATAAAATTAAATCAGTTAGAAAAGGGTATAGAGAATTTTTCCATACACTAAAAATCGCATCATATTGATTTTATTACAATGAACAACTATGATCAAGTTTTACTTTCGTGACAGAAAGCTGAAGCTTGGCAGAAATGAAGCTTTCAAATTTGAAAAAGAATGAATATATTATCCCTAAATCATAAATTACCAAAACTACAAAATATATTTATGCCATTTAAATCTGTTTAAATACATACAAAAATACCGTCGCGTCGCGCGTCAGTCGTCACTCATCACTCTAAAGCCAATCCTACGTATAGGCAACACTCTTTACGTTTTACATGTTCTTTGTATGCCGAGATATGATGTTCTATAATATTTTTATGTTATATCCAAATAAATAATTGGAATAATTTATATAATAAATAATAAAATAATTGCGCTATTTTATGAATATATATTTTATATAATATAAATAAGTCATAAATTCTAAGCTATATTCAGTTGTGGTCATAGATGGGAGAACGGTAGCTACTTTAAACGTAAAAACAATATGATTAAAAAACGATGTCAGCGATGGCTTTGAAATGAAGATCGCTGGCATTTTATATGTAAAGTTAAATGAGACATGTCATCGATCGACCTTTCTAAGCCAAATGAAAGCCTTTTTTGGATCATACAGTATTTTATTTCCTATATTCAATTATTATACTTATTTAAATTTAAACATATCAATTTTTCAGAAAATCCAAATTTAGTTAATAAGTTGTTTGTTAAGTTTAGAGTTACATAGTAATTGGTAGTTTGTATCTTGGTAGCAATTATAGTATTTTGTCTATAAAATATCTTATTTTCAGACTTATGGCAGACGATCGATGACATTTCCCATATAATTTTACATATAAAATGACAGCGATCTTCATTTCATAGCCATCGCTGACGCCGTTTTTATTCGATCATACGGTATTAACACTACATATCCATGTATACCTATTATTATGGCCCCTCTTCTATTGGGCCACCTCTATCTATATTATTAATTAAGCCGATCCTGTCATACATTTCGATAATCATAATCTTTACAATGTTTCAGTTTAATCTTATACTAGACTTACCTTAATAAAATTGTCAGATTAACATCATGACTCAGTCGGTCTAAAGCTGCGGTTCCGTCCACTCTTACTGAATTAATTTTGTCCCTAAGCGATGAAGAATTTCCAACAGGAGCGTGTCTTTCCTTGAGAATATCGAAAATATTCGGCTGTCTCAAGAACGCCACCACTTTGTCGTTATATGCAACTGGTACTTCTGGAATATTTGTTTGAACATTGTTAGTTGTAGGTAATGATCTTGGAGGTGGAACTGGAGCCTGAAAATATTGAAACTGTTATTAATAAAATAAAACTGGCTTCTAAAAATACATTTCTGTGTCTTGGAGAACTCACTTCAATGTCATCTGAAAACCTTCTACCAAGAGAAACTGTATCCAAAGGAAGACGCGGGTCCATATAAGTAGTTTTCTTGTTAGTATGGTCAATGAAGAATGGCTAATTAAAGACTTGGTGTTAGATGAGGTTAGTAAAGCAATACAAATATTAAAAATTTTAGTAAGTTAATAAGTTAGTTATACAGGGTGGTCCGAAATGTATTCCAGAAACTTCGGCAGTATATTCTACAGATAAAAATAAGTAAAAAAGTTCGTATAAATGTATGTCCTAAAATGCATATTTTCGGAGATACACGGTGTAGAAGTTACATCAATAATTGGATGAAAATTACTGTCTCGGAGTTTTTTGACATGGGAAATTTGACTTGAAATCATATGACTACTATTTGTAGATGACGCCACTTAGGTACCTATTTTTAACTGATTTGAAGAGTAATAATTTTTCGTCCGTACCTATATAAAACTACTGAATAAAAAGATATACATTAATGACGCTTTTTAAAAAAAGGTCTCTTAGTAAAAATCGCTGCGAGTAATGGTTCTCGAGATATTTGGAACCGAAATTAACACCTGTCATTATTGACATAAATAATTAAACATTATAGTTATTAAACTAAATAGTTATTAGACTGAAATGATAAACTTGAAATGTTTTTGTGCCAAAAGTTCAACAGAAAGTGTTTTATCATCATTTTTTTCAAAGAAAAATTTATGATTAATTTAAAAAAATAAAGTTCCCAATTTAATTTTCAATTCAGTCAAATCACTATCTACTCAACATGTTTATTTTTGTCAATATTGACATGTATTGACTATTTCCACTCTAAATATCTTGAGAACGGTTGCTTGTAGCGACTTTTACCAAGATAAATTTTTTAAGTAAAAAATTACAGAAATGTATTTTTTTTTCACTCAGTAGTTTTATACAGGTACGGACGAAAAGTTATTACTCTTCAAATCAGTTAAAATACATGTAGGTGTACGCCCCCTACAAATAGGAGTCTATTGATACGAATATCAAAAAACTCCCAAACACCAATTTTCATCCAAATATTGACGTTACTTCAGAAATTATTTGAAAAAAATCGAAATAAAAATGAAACTTCTACACTCGGTATCTCTGAAACTAAGCATTTTAGCACATAGATTTATACGAACTTTTTTACTTCTTTTTATCTGTAAAATATGCTGTTTTTTTTGCAAAGTTTCCGGAATACAGTTCGGACCACCCGGTATATCTCTGTATAATAAAAAAATACCTTAGCAGCAGCATCATTCTTGGTATCCCATCCTTCTGGCAAGCCTTTATTAGTGTCAGCAAACAAATTTACTAAAGAGACTAATTCTTTATTATGCTGATATTTTTCAAAATAGGATGGATCCCTTCTTATTCTAATTATCATGTGTTTAAGCGTTGGATTTCTATTGTATAATAATGTAGCTTCCTAAAATTGCAATTAGTATTTATTACATCAATGTCACCAAGAATCTTACCAATATTATGAGCTTACCTGATTCATATGAAGAATTGTATAAAAATCAGGTCTTACTAATAATTTGCAACCAGGAGGCGCATCTGTCGCAGTACTATTTTCTAATCTACTTGAACTAATTGTCCTTCTAATACTTTGGTATCGTCTATCTAACTGTCTCCTATGTTGTTCTGCTCCAACCATATTCGTTGAATTATTAAAATTACATCCTGGTCTCGTCCAAGAAGTGGTACGTGTTGTGTGGTCGATATAAAACACTCTTCCGTGACTATCCATCCTAGCTTCCCAAGCTATAAAAATTGTTATTTATAAAAAACTCTACAAGACTTGTTCCAATTTCTTACATGGAGGTAAAGGTTCATCATGTTCCCCAGGAACCTCCGAATAACATAATAATCGATGACTCCTCTCTGGAATAGAGGGTAATCTAGTAGTACTTAACCGTTGTAATGCTATAGGAACACCTCCACTTGCTTCTCCATTTTCTACAGGTACTCTGGGACGTAAAGTTGGCCTTTGAATTCCTAAAATTAAAATAAAACTTTTCTTCAATTCTCTTAGCAACCTTGCCCTAATGTATACTAGTGTCTAGATTTACAAGACAATATTCTGGTAGCACAACTAATTTGATATGGGATAAACGGTATGAAGCAGAAATCTGTGTCCAAAATATATCCAGCTGGCTGAAATTTGTGATATAACAAGACTACCTTGGCTAAACGTCTACAACATCTAATAGTGGCCGTAGTCTGTGTCACTACGCTGTGTGGACTACAACGCGTACACTAATCAGTAGAAATCAAACATCATTAAGGAGAGACCAGCAACTCAAACTGTAGAAGATGAGCTGTGCCTTTGAAATAAACAAATAACGTTGCATAAAATCAACGACGGTCGACACATGTCGGACTCATGTTACGTTAAACCCATGCTAAGAAATTACATAATTCATTTGAAGATAAGAACAGAATATCGTTGACACATACAGATACGTGCTGACACCTTCGTCAAATTAGTAACAGGTATGTCAAAATGGAGAGGTTGGCTATGGGAATGTGTTAAGGGAAAAGCATTCTAGATTCTAGGAATGCAATGAATTTTGGTAGAACAAACTATACGCAGAGGCAGATAACTCCTAAATGGTGGCAGAAATGGCATGCTGACTGTATTATACACTATTATACACGGGCTACTGCAGATTGAGACTATACATAGAATGAAACATACATGTATCGCATATGAAAGCAATTATAAGCAACGTCTATTGAGTTAAACACCTAAGCGTACTCCTAAATAGAAAAAAAGGGTGGTCTACAATGCATGGTTTTGGCAGAAGAAATGGACAACAGCAAAGTGGGGGTGCTTGATTATTCCACAATTGAAGCAATAACAGTGCGTGTTATTTTCTGCAAATGCCATTATTAGATAAAAAAAAACGCAAACTGCAGATATCTGATTCTGCGCTCAGAAAGACAGTGTACCGAATTTGAAGAAATTAGGATATTTAAAATAATTAGATAATTAAAGGGATATTAATAAAGAGAATAATGATTAGGTAAGAAGATGAAGAAAAAAGTAGAGAGGTATAATACCTCGTTCTCCCAAACTAATACTTAAGGGTAGTCCAGAATAGTTCTTATAGAGTTCTTCTCCAAAAGTTATTTTTATAGGCAGTTCCAGGATAGTTCTATGGAGGGTAGAGGTAAGGAGAATGATCTTCGTGTATTGAAAAATGGTCATCAAAGAGTTCTGAAGGCCCCGTGTTGCCTCTCTTTTTTAACTAACTTCACTTTACAACAAGTCTACAGTATGTCCCCGGATTGTCTTTACAAGAGGAAAACACTTTTTTATTATAAACATTTTGAGAAAAATGCATTCTTCAGAAAAAAATTTTACTTGTTCTAAAATGGTAAATCCCGTTTATACTTTTCCCAATTGTCATATATGAAAATATGGTTGAATTTTTAATTCCTAAAAATCAAAAGGCGTTTCTATGGTAATATAATTTCGAGTTCATTTTTTGATATATGTTTATTATTAATTTTGATTAACGTTATATTTTTTGCTGTTTTGTGCTTCTTTAGCATTTTAAAACAGCAAAAAATATGACGTTAATTGGAATTCTAACAATAACCATACAATAACAATCTATCAAAGAATGGAAACTATAAATATATAAAAATTATATTACCATAGAAACGCGTTTTGATTTTTAGGACTAGGAAAAAATTCAACCATATTTTAATTTTTTTTTTAATTTTCTCTAAAACGGTATGGAAATTTGGAGAAGTGATTTAACCATTATAGAACAAGCAAAAAATTTTATGAAGAATTAATTCATTGTTCTCAAAATGTCAGTAATAAAAAAATGTTTCCTCTTGTAAAGACAATCCGGGGACATACTGTAGAGTGTCATGGCTATAAATGTAACGACAATTTGATTCGAAATATCTAGTATGTGGTAAAACAAAAGTATTCGTAAAAAATGTTTTTTTAAATATGCTAATAAGCTACCCTTGTTCCATTTGAAAAAATGGAGTTATGATTAAAACTACGACACCAAAAACATTAGACGATCAAATCTCTTTTCCAAAGCTCCTTGATTAAAAATTAATGATTTTAATACAACCATAGCACTGAGTGAAATTTAAAATAGTCTTTTTTAATTGAAAATGTCAAACTTTGACTTATGAAATGGCATTGGCATTCTATTCAGAATGTCATTTTGAAATATAAAGTAAAAAAAATGTGAAGGTACACACCAAATTTCTTTTTTTTATATGAAAAAAAGGTATAGGGGTTAGTCACTTTTGAAAAATACCCTGTATATTAGGTACATTAAAGATGCGATTGGGATAAAAAAAAACGATCTAAAAAATCGGCATCAGCAATGGAGCTAATACTATGTAAGCCAATAATGGATTGTTAATAATCCTCACCTTTACATCTTAGTTCTGACATTGCTATCAATCCTATTTGCGGTATTTCGATGTCAGGGGCGACAGCACCGTCCTCACTACTGTTTGCAGGCCTGACATCGGCTAGTTTAATTTCGGAACCTGCTATCGCTTCCTGATCTCGTAACGGAATATCAGGAGGTTCGGTTGATTTAAGATTTGGAGGCCTCAAGTCACTAGTCGCTCTATTTTTGCGCGAATGATGTGTCGGAGTCGGCGGACAAATGGGTAGAGCATTAGGTACTCCAGTTATTCTAGTTAAAGCTTTGGGATGGGGCCTGTAACAAACACTTTTTATTTGAAAGTGGTAAAGTATGATAAATTATGTAATAAAATATATTCTTACCCTGGCATTGTCTTTAATTTTTGAAGTAAGTGTAGAATGTTTTGTGTAGAATTTCAAAAATTAAAGACTATGCCAGTACATGAAACAGGGGCGTAGCGAGGGCACTTGTTGGAGGGGTGTTGTTCTGTTCAATTTCCATTCAAAATTATTTTATTTTCTAAATTTTAACCTATCGAAGTTATTTTAATATTAAATATTACATACTTTTAAAACATTAACTATCGATGTCAATATGACTCCTAATTGTAGGTCGCGCTACCTACATGTGTTTTAACTGTTTTGAAGAGTAATAACTTTTCGTCCGTACCTGTATAAAAGTACTGAGTGAAAAAATATACACCCCCGTAATTTTTTGCGTAAAAAATGTATTTGGGAATCTGGGTAAAAAACTGCTACGAACAACCGTTCTCACGATATTTAGAATGGAAATAGTCAATAAATGTCATTATGGACAAAAAGTAAACATGTTAAAAAAGTCTTAAAATAAACAAGATATTTATTTGACAGAAATGATAAATTTGCAAATTTTTTATTTTTTTTTAATTAATCATAAATTTTCCTTCGAAAAAGTTATGATGAAACAGTTTCTGTTGTACTTTTGACACAAAAACATTTCAAATTAAATTTATTATTGCAGTTTAATAACTATTTCGTCAACAGGTGGATACAAGGGCTGGCATTTTTGGTATTGGGTGCCGATTTCCGTGTATACGAAGAGTACGGTCAACACGCTTAGCAAAATAAGATATACTGAATAAAGACAGAAGGCAAGTATTTTCCCAAGCGCATGGAATCTAGCGTGAGATTAAGTGGTTATGTAATAAATACTTCGTATTTTTGCTCTCTCCGACTTACTAAATTGCCATAGCGATTCACTCCTATACATGTAAACGCCGACCCAAGGTTTCGCTTGCCAGCAGGGTACGTTAGTGATGACAGGTATTGATAATTTCGATTTCAAATATCTCGAGAAGCATTACTGGTAGCGATTTTTACCAAGAGACTTTTTTACGTAAAAAACTTCTTTTACTCAGTAGTTTTATACAGGTATGGACGAAAAGTTATTACTCTTCAAAGCAGTTAAAATATATGTGGGTGGCGCCCTCTACAAGTAGGAGTCACTGACTTCAAATCAAATTTCATATGTCAAAAAACTCCCAGACACCGATTTTCATCCAAATATCGACGGACATTAATTCAGAAATTATTTGAAAAAAAAATCAAAATAAAAATGAAATTTCTATACCCTGTATCTCCGAATCTAAGCATTTTAGGACATGCATTTATACGAACTTTTTTACTGGTTTTTAGCTGCAGAATATGCTGCCGAAGTTTCCCAAATACAGTTCGGATCACTCCGTATATCTGCCACTGTCAAAAATGTATTTTATTTTAAACACTATACAGGGTGAGTCTTAAATAAGTGCAAATATTTTTAGAGGTAGTATATTTCAACCCCAGAAACATGATTATGCGGTTTTTCTCGCGAAAAAAAAATTGAAAATTTGGAATTTTTTTTTAAATTTTTAGTAAAAAAAATATAATTTGTTGATAATATGGCTACATAGGTAGTAGATTAAATTTACAAGAAAAAAAATCCAGAAAAGATCCAGTGGTTCTCAAAATCTTAACAAAAAATCATTTTACACTATGGATACTATCAATTAAGAATTAAAAGTTAAGTATTTATTTGTTTTATATTTTATATTATTATTGCAGCCCCAGTTAATGACCAATGATAATTTTGACTAATTAAGAATAGCAATATTCTACCAAACTAATTAAAGACTTACCTTGCTATATCTTTTATCTCTCTCTTTGGTCTAGATTGATGAATTGGGGTCCCTGGCAATTCAATTGCGTCTCCGCATTCATCTGGTTTCTGTAGCGATCCTAGTCTAATAAGAGGTTTATGAGGCTTACTTGCTAAATCACTGCCGTATTCAGCACCATCCGGTGCATCGATAGACGTGCTACTCTGCGTTGACTGGGTAGAACTATAACTATAAAGAAACATCAATTGTATTTCAAATATAAACAACTGTAAAATACTATTATACCAACTGTATGAAATATTGTTTAAAAGTGAAAAAATAAACAAACCACAAAAATTCGTTAGGAATTAAAATAAATAACGTATTATCCAAAAATGAAACATACTGATGCAAATTGTGTCTCGGACCTTAATAAAAACTGATGATGTCAGTATTTGTTTATTTTTCCAAATGCGGTTTAAGTTGCTTATAATAACATTCTCTATAATCTGGTAATTTTTTCAAGCATCCATTTTGACATCTCAAAAAAGTTATTTTTTATAAAAAAAATATGAAAGGTCAGTCCACTATATGCAATAAACATTATGTCAGTTGTGAACTACAGCTATGAATTATCACTAAGACAAAAACTTTTCAATTTAATGATTTTCACAAAATACCTACATATAAAATTAATACAGTAAAGTTTCATTCAGAACCTCACAATTAGTGGAATAAATTAGTGGTTTCAATTATACTTTATACTTTTTAGTTTACGATCATTCACAATGTCTAAAGAATACAATTACAATTAATAGAATATCTTAGAAACAGCTTGCGGTTTTAGTTGTGTCCATAGAGAAAGCCTAATATCTATACTAATATATAAAATCCTTAAGTGACTGACATACTGATTAATCACGATCCTGCTCAAACCACTCAACGCAACGTAAGAAGCTCAATTTTGATAATCCAATAGGTAAATCTCGGTGTAAATAAATAACTAGTGATTTCTCAAAACATGACAATATTCTAGCATATTTTTAGTGATTTTTATAGTGAAAACCAAAAATGGATGTGGACCTTAATTCAGGACCTCGAAATTAGTAGAATAAATTAGTGATTTCAATTAGAGTTTATAGTTTTTATTTTAGAATTATTCACAATGTTTAAAAAACACCATTAACGATAGACAGTTGTATCCACAGAGAGAGCCTAATTATTTATACTAATATATAAAATCCTTAAGTAACTGACATACTGATTAATCACAATCCTGCTCAAACCACTCAACGTAAGAAGCTCAATTTTGGCATACAGGTTGATTGTAGGGTGTAGAGGTTCGATAAGAAGGGATTTTTCGAAATTCCAGTTACAAGGGGGTGAAACAACCCCTCAAATATTACAATATTTTTTATTTAAAAAACGGTCAAGTTTCCGAAAAAAACGATTAAACACGTATATTTTATTTTGTTTTTTTTCATATTTTAAGATTTTTTAAAAATGTATACAGGGTGTTTCGAAAAATTTTGGTCATTGATTAATCACGATCCTGCTTAAAGCGCTTGATGTAAAAAGCTGATTTTTGGAAAACGGATTGACTTTAGGGTGTAGAGGTTCGATAAAAGGGATTTTTTGAAACTCGAGTTTTAAGGGGGTGAAACCACCCCTCAAATATTAGAATATTTTTTATTAAAAACCGGTAAGTTTTTCGGAAAAACTCTTAAACACGTATATTTTATTTTGTTGTTTTACATATTTTAAGATATTTTAAAAATTTATACAGGGTGTTTCATAAAATATGATCATTTAGTAATCACGAGAGAGATTCTGCTTAAACTGCTTGAAGTTTAAAGCTGATTTTTGACAAACAGATTGACTGTGGGGTGTAGAGGTTCAATAAGGAGGGATTTGTCGAATCTCAAATTCCAAGAGGGTGAAAAACGCCCCTCAAATATTACAATATTTGTTATTTAAAAAACGGTTCGTCTTTCGGGAAAACGCTTAGACACGCATAATTTATTTTGTTTTTTTACATATTTTGAAATTTTTAAAAAATCATACAGGGTGTTCCGAAAAGTTGCGTAATTGATTAACCGCGATTCTGCTTAAACTGCATGACGTAAAAAGCTTATTTTTGGCAAACGGATTTTTCGAAAGTCAAATTTCAACGAGCTTAAGATAAAAACCAAGTTATATAATAATATCGACATATTGTTTTTTCTCATGCTGACATAAATGTGAGAAAATTTTATCCAGTTTGTATGTTAATGGAAATTCTTGCTTTGCTTTATCATCAAATCATCACTATTACAAATGATTAATTCGACGCGAACGAAGTCGCGGGTACACGCTAGTTAGCTTATAAAATAATTTTCCTTTTTTATTTCTAACTACAATATCTCTAGACGCATGATAATCAAAGAAATTTTGCTTTTTAATGTCAAAATGACATTACTCGCAAATATAATTAGTGAAAAAAGTTAAAGGTTTGTTAACTTTCTCTACTAATTGAGAATTACTACCACTAATTTTGACGTTGTGAATGCTTATATCGGAATTTGAAGAATAAACTTCTACGCCAATTGAGATAATAATATAATATTTCTACTATAGCTTCATTCAGAACGATTGGTAGTAATTTTCAATTAGTAGAAAAAGTTACTTGAACTTTTGCCACAAATAATGAAATAATACTTTAAAATTTGCGAGCAAGTCATTTTAATCTTTGATTGTGGTTAAAAAAGAAAAGTTTATTGTTTTATAAACTAAATTATCAGGCTTTCTCTATGGATACAACTGACTACCGCAAGTTGTTGCTAGGATATTCTATTAATTTTAATTCTATTTTTTTAGACATTGTGAATGATCGTTATCTTTTAAAGCTTTAAGCTTCATTCAGAACCTCCCAATTAGTGGAACAAATTAGCTGTTTCAATTAAACTTTTTTTAGTTCATGATCATTCACAATGTCTAAAAAACACAATAATTAAAATTAATAAAATATCCTAGCAACGGCTTGCGGTAGTCTGTTGTATCCACAGTGAAAGCATAATATTTAGCTTATAAAACAATAAACTTTTGATTTCTAACAAAAAATTTTCTTGACGGGTAATAATCAAGGGCCAAAATGACATTTCTCGCAAATTTTGAAGTATAATTAGCGGAAAAGTCAAAAGTTTGTTAACTTTTTCTACTAATTGAAAATGGCTACCACTAATTTAGACGTTCTGAATGCTTACATTGAAATTAAAGGAAGAAACTTCTACGCTAATTGAAACCACTAATTTATTCCACTAATTGCGAGGTTCAGAATGAAGCCTAAGTGTATTTAAATTAAACAGTTGTTACGCAGACTATAATGTTCGATAAAATTTAACAACTTTTTAAGTAGTAGGTGTAAATCTCGGTGTAAATAAATAACTAGTGATTTCTCAAAACATGACAATATTCTAGCATATTTTTAGTGATTTTTATAGTGAAAACCAAAAATGGATGTGGACCTTGATTCAGGACCTCGAAATTAGTAGAATAAATTAGTGATTTCAATTAGAGTTTATAGTGTTTAGTTTAGAATTATTCACAATGTTTAAAAAATACAATTAACGGTAGACAGTTGTATCCACAGAGAGAGCCTAATTATTAGTTTATAAAATAATTTTCCTTTTTTATTTCTAACTACAATATCTCTAGATGCATGATAATCAAAGACATTTTGCTTTGTAATGTCAAAATGACATTACTCGCAAATATAATTAGTGAAAAAAGGTAAAGGTTTGTTAACTTTCTCTACTAATTGAGAATTACTACCACTAATTTTGACGCTGTGAATGCTTATATCGAAATTAGAAGAACAAACTTCTACGCTAATTGAGATACTAATATAATATTTCTACTAAAGCTTCATTCAGAACGATTGGTAGTAATTTTCAATTAGTAGAAAAAGTTAACAAACCTTAACTTTTGCCACAAATAATGAAATAATACTTCAAAATTTGCGAGCAAGTCATTTTAATCTTTGATTATCATCCGCCAAATTTTCTTGACGGGTAATAATCAAGGGCCAAAATGACATTTCTCGCAAATTTTGAAGTATAATTAGCTGAAAAGTCAAGTTTGTTAACTTTTCCACTAATTGAAAATTACTACCACTAATTATGACGTTCTGAATGCATACATTAAAATTAGGTGAACAAACATCTACGGCTAATTGAAACTACTAATTTATTCCACTGATTTCGAGGTTCTGAATGAAGCTTTAGAGGAATAAATTAGTGCTTCAATTAGCGTAGAAGTTTGTTCCTCTTATATCATTGTAAGCATTCAGAACATCAAAATTAGTGGTAGTAATTTAAAATTAATAGAAAAAGTTAACAAACTTTGAACTTTTCCACTAATTATAGTTCAAAATTTGCGAGGAATGTCATTTTGGCTTTTTATTATCATTCGTCAAGACAAATTGTAGTTAGAAATCAAAAGATTATTGTTTTAATAAGCTAAATATTAGGCTTTCTCTATGGATACAACTGACTACCTCAAGATGTTGTTAGGATATTCTAATAATTTTATGTTTTGTTAGACACAGTGAATTACCGTAAACTAAAAAGTATAAAGTGTAATTGGAACCACTAATTTATTCCACTAATTGCTAGGTTCTGAATGAAGCGTTAGTATAAAGTATAATTGAAACCATTAATTTCGAGATTCTGAATGAAGCTTTATTGAAAATATGTTATGTTTTATGGCTGAATTAACTGGTATTACATACTTTCATTTTATAAAAGATAAAAACTATTATGTCCTTCCTATTTATTGTCAAATTAAAATTAAATTTGTACAAAAGATATTAGGTTTTGCACCTTATGCAACCTTTATTATGAAATAATAAAACGATATTTACCTGTCTTTATTTTCTAATAATTTATGAGCATTAACTGGACTAGATTCTGAACTTTTACTTAGGACCGTTGTAATATAATTATCACAACCAATATGTTTAGTAGACGACTCTACAAATATAGAACTAATTTTCTGCGCTGAGGAAGTAGAACAAGCATCAACATCAGATAGAGACGAGGCAGATTTATAATCTTCATCCGTGTCTATCAGTTCAAAATTAAACGTATCCTCTAGAGTTTGAAGTTTCTTAGGTTTATTTTGCCGTTGAACTATTGGAGGAGTAAAAGTAGTTGCTATAACAAAACTGCTTTAAGTAAAATTTTCACATGTATTTTGTATTAAAAAGCTCACCTACTGCATGGGATCTTTCTAAAGGCTTGTGCATTGTTCTTGGTGGTAGCGGAGGAGCATCCTCTTCGGTAAACTCCATACCACAGGCTGCTTCAAAAATTTTATTTTCGTCTTCTGGTGAGGAAGAACTATGCGATGTCCATATTTGGTAATATTCTTTGCCAGGAGATTTAGTGTTTTTAGAACGGACTTTTTTCTTTGTTCCTCCTAAAACAAAGATGCATCTGAAATGCTTTAAAATACAAGTAATAACATATGATAATTGATTTCTGATGGATGGAGTGTGCCATTTTGTTTTCAAATGTGGTGTTTCCCGCTTATTAGTAAAGAGTAGAAAATATTAGTAAAGATAGTAGAGAATAGCTTTGAATAAAAATATTAAGGAAAGAGTATAATGCAAATACGTTTAAATAAAATATACGACGGCCTCCCCATAAGAGCAATGAGAGGATTTACGTCCCAGTATTAAAGGAGGACAGAAAATCGAGTCGAATGGTTTCAAGACATAGGTTCATCCTTGTTTAGTCAAACCTCCTACAACACAAGGATAGACTTATGTAGCAAATGCATTGAAATTCCCTAGCCATCCTTCAATATCGGGACAGGAATTTAAGCGGTACCCTCCGTATACTTTATTTTAAACGTATTTGGTATAATGGGTATTCATGGATTCATGCATGGTTGACGGAGAGAGGGATCTAGGGTGGGGATCCTTGACAGTTCTCTTTGACGACTCATTTGACACATTTGAATTTTATTTGAAATTTTGCGGATTTGTCAATCTTTACCTTGCTACAGCAGAAAGAAAACTAGAATGAATCGAAAAAAAATGAACACAACCCCCCTGTAGCTATGAAACAAAACTGAATCGGACCTATGTTGATATAAGAAATAAACATTATTTTTACGTGGGTAATCTCCTTAGACAGAAACACCTTGTATAATATAAAGTGAGATTTTTGTTACAATCATTTTTTTGTCATTTGTCAGAATCACTAATTAATTCACATATCACAAATAACTAATCATAATTATCCGAAAAATATACCGTATGATCGAATAAAAACGGCGTCAGCGATGGATATGAAATGAAGATCGCTGTCATTTTATATGCAAAATTATATGGGAAATGTCATCGATCGTCATTTCCAAGCCAACTGGACCCCGTTTTTTTATCATACGGTACATAGGCTGTCCCATTTAATAAAGAGAAAATTGGTTTGGTTCGAAATATTGATTAAGAAAAAACTAATTAAGCCTCTGGATTTGTCATAAAAATATAAAGAGTCGATTTTATCTTTTTGATAAGTTTTCATACAAATGAGATAAAAGAGGTGTCTAACACTGTAACATATTTTCAAAATTACCCTGTATCAGGGGCTATATTCCAATAAACTAGTTAAGATTTGGAAAAAAACCGGCAAAGTTCCATCTTTATTAATAAGCCAAAAAAACTCAATTGCAGCCAAAATGGGACATTCTGTATTATTAGTGGTTCAAAAAGATCTTACCTCCAATATTATTAAATCCATTTATCGGTGATTTTTTCTTTACTCCAGATAAAATTTGTTCCTTATTTGTATCTAGATCTTCCATGGAAGTAGAGGTTTTAAATGAATCCAAAGTTTCCAGTGAATTTGAATTTTTACGAGAAAAATTTGGTGTCGGAAAAACTAAATGGCTTGGTATCTCTCCATCAATTTCATCTTGAAAGGCGTCATTTTCTATTCCATTACACTTGTTAGGCCTCTTAATTCTAATAAATCTTTTGATTTTGTCTATGGGATCTGACTGAGCCAAACATTCTAACGTTGTCGAATCATAATAACCGAAACAAACTAATTTTTCACAATCTGAAATTATAGAAAAGAAAAAACTTAAATATAATACTTAAAATGTGGTAGAATTAGAAATCTATGATATTAATGTCAAATACGTGAACAAAGTGTATTGTCCAAATGCGTTATTCATCGTGTAATGTTAATTACCAAAAATTACGTAATTTACAAGTCAAAAAAAACTTTCTTACTTTGCACCTCATGATATGAATCAACACTACATTATGTACTCATTGTATGTAAAGAAATATAAAATATTGTTCATATTTTGGTAGCTGGTCCATTGAAGTTATTCTTTTGGGTAAAATTACCACTAAAATTCAACAACTTTTATTGTGTCTAAAAGTGCATTACATTAAAAATCCAGAAACGAAATTTTATAATGGGAATGTTTACAGATCTTTAAATGGATCTTGATTTTAAAGTATTGCTTTTTAGTGACGACATTCTCAGAAAAATAAAATATTACAAATTTACTTATGCTTACCATTATGATGCTGCCTAGGAATATCTAAAAGCCACATTGTACTTTGCGCTTGTCCACACACTAAATGTTTTGCTATAAAATCATGTGTACTATCTGAAAAAAAAGAAACAATGTTTTAGAACCTAATAAAATCAATAATATTTATTTTATAATAAAAATAGAAATATTGTGGCATTTAAACTTATCCGTTATCAACTTTTATTAAGTATATGTATCTACATTAAAAAACATCAACGTTAATTTTAAGTTAAATTTCGTCATAATATACCAATAATAAAATTAAAAAACTGAAATGTAGTGATAAATACATATATAGATTGACTAATTTTACTAAAAACATTATCAAATCAATACCTGTATGATCTAATACATTTATAATATTAATTTAATATCAGTTCTACATTTTTATTATATTTTTATTCTATACCGATGCGATAGTCCGATTAAGTAGTAGTTTATTACATAAACACTTAATTTGACGCTATATTTCATATGTTTGTAAAAATATTTGCTATTATTTCTTTGTTTGGTACATCTTATTGTACCTACTGAGCGTATTGATTGTATAATAGTCTTCGTACACACGAGAATCAATACAAAGCCAGACCTTGCCGACCCTGTATATTTATTAAATGTTTTATATAGTGAAGTCATTGATAAAAACACTACAGGAAATTGAATCGTATCTTATATCACCTATGTACGTTGTAATTTATTGACTATCAAATCTAAGGTACATTATAAAATATCACTTTTAAAAATTACACTTTGTGAGTATGGAATCAGCACAAAAAGAATTATTCATTAAATGAAAAATAACAGAAATGTCCGATAAATTTCAAACAAGTGGATAACGTAGTACACCCATGATGATTATATGTATAAGAATTTACATTCAGTCTCAGTTTCAAGAAATACATATTGAGTAATCGCGCTATATTATAAGGGGGAGCTCCAACATTTATCTTCAGGCGTCGAACTGTCTACTAAACATGTGTAATTGACACCAGAAAAAAGCAATCTTTTCATTTAAAGTCCTTAATACTTTAAATTCGAAAAATATTATTTTTTTATTCTTCATCTAACAAAGGAATAATATACAGGGTGTTCCATTTAAAAAAAAATCATCCCGATCCACTCACTTTTTGAATGACCCTGTAGAAGTTAAAATATTTTCCTGAAATACACCCTAATATATACTTTACCTATAAGGTATCAGTGTAGGAGGAGGTAAAATCAACAACTTACGATTTGCAGACGACACAACATTAATTGCGACCAGTGAAGAAGAATTGGCGAATCTACTGTTGCGAGTAGAAAATGAAAGTGCTGAGATGGGACTAACTATCAGAGGAAAAACCCTACAAAGATCTTTCCAGCTTAATGCTATCGAAGTGGTTCATGATTTTGTTTATCTAGGATCAAACATAAACGACGAAGGCAATTGTAAAATAGAAATTAGACGCAGAATACAGTTAGCAAAAACTGCCATAATGCTTGTTACAAGAATATGGCAGAGCAGAGTGATAACAACCCACACAAAAAAAAATTGCGGCATACAATTTTCTTCTCAATATTTCTTTATAGAGTGGAATCCTGGACCATCAAAGCATCGGAAAGGCGCATGATAGACAGCTTTGAAATGTGGTGCTACAGAAATGTGGTGCTACAGCTTTGAAATGTGTTGCTAAGTATGCTGAAAATACCTTGTACAGCTACAAGAACTAATCTGTCAATAATTAATGAGCTCAACATAAGCACCCGATAAGCACCGTCCGTCGGCTATCTGTCTGAAATGCATCCTTGAGTACTTTGAACACATTGCTCGAAGACCTGCCGACAACATAGAAAAGGATAAAGATGTAGAAGTCGGTCTCCAACAAGATGGATCGATCAAGTAAGACAAACAACAAAAAACAAATAAAATAATAATCTAAAACAAAAAGTATTCTCATAGAAGTCACGACCCTCAGCTATGAGGAACGATTGGAGAGAGAGATATACTTTACACCACTTTGGTACCAAATTCCAAAGTTATTTATTATTGGAACTACAGATGCCCGAGGCACTGTTTCCGGGCCCGTATAAAGTAGTAGGAAAATCTTTCAACCGGCAACCCCTATTTGCGGCAACTTTTTGATAGATACCCTTATAACATCATGCACAGAATAAAAATAGCTTTAATTTAACAATATAAATGATCAAAACATTTTATGAACGTATTGTTGTCCCCGAAATCAGTTATTATTATTATTAATTAAACATTGCGGCAACTTTTTGATTGGCACCCTGTTAAATGTGTATTCTCCTATTCATAAGTATACGTAAAAATCAAGTTTTGATTAAAAATGGGATGAGCGTAATAATCCTGCAGCCGGATCCTGTACTAATAACTATCTAACTTCTATCCTTATCCATCTATAATACCGATTCTCTAACAAAAAAAATACTAACTATACCGTGTTATATTTCGTCAGAATGAAATCAACACTGAATTTAAAAAATATATATATTCACATGTTATAATGGGAATCAGTAGATAATTCTCATAATTTCTAATGAGTAGTTAAACAACACTCTTGATGATTCTATGTTTAAAAATTTACATAGTCCGGTTTGAAGAAATATATTGAATAATCACCATCTACTATATTAAAATGGTGAGCTACCACATTTATCTTTTGACATAATCTGACTACTAACCACGTGTAATTATTGACACCCTAGTACAAATAAAACAATATTGTTCTGCAATATTAATATACAGGGCGAGTTAAAGCATTCACTTTAGTGCGTTTAGTAAAAATTAATGGAGAAAAACGCAAGGGGTCTGAACTGAACAGATCAAAACTTACAGAAAATCATCTAAATAAATAAAATAAAGTCGGATTAGTAAAACGGGGTTACTTTGTCACCTTTTGAACATGTTTTATTCTATAACTTTTTTATTTTTTCGATTTTCGGCCTGAAAAAAATCAAGTATACCGACGGTGTCATTTTGTATGCGCAGCCACAAAACCAGCTGCTTAGCTTCCATAGGGAATTTAAAATAAAAATAAAAATAGGGTACAAAGTAGCCCCGTGATTGAGGCTACTTTGTCACCTTATTAAAAATGCTTGCAAAATGCATAGAAATAGCTAGAATGACAAAGTAACCCCAGATATTGAATCGCCGGAAAAAAATGTATATACCTATCTATATTTTTTAATTTTTAAAATAAAATTGCAAAAAAAACAAATCATTGTACAAAATACTTTATTTCCAACAGGAAAATAATATTATCAAACGTAATAAATCTTAAAAACATTCTGTAACATTAATAAGGAAACTTAAAATAATATTTTTAAAAAAAAATTTCACGATTTGCTTGATATCGGGTTTAGTGAGCGGGGAATCCCCAATCTGCAACGACGCCAAGGGTTCTTGCAATGACGGTTTCTTCCTCCAGACTCAGGATGGTTGGATGACCTCTAGGTTTTGTATGCCTACCAAGGCATCTGTTAGTAAGGGTGCTCAGTGGAATTTGATAAAATCTGGACGCCTGTTTTTTGCTCATACCATTTTGCATTGCGCGCACCGCTTGCGCCACCTGTTCTTCAGTGTAATTGTGGTAGGTCCGGCTACCCGGGGTTTTTTGATACGTTCGATTTATTTTTCTAGTCAATTAGAACTTGAAAAAAAATAAGCCTTATTGGAAGCAGCAATTAAAAAAAAATGAAAAAAAAAACATAAAACCATCAGCGCGCACAAGGTGACAAAGTTACCCCAGGTGACAAAGTAGCCCCGCTTTACTTATACACCATTTATAAATCAAGAACGGCTGGACCGATTTTAATGATCTCAGATTTGTTGGATTCGTCTCAGCCACGGTTCGAATAGCAGATTAACTATTAAAATATCGCAAAAATTCACAAAACCAAAAAACTATACAGAAAATTAATTTTTAAATAAAGTAGGTTTGGAATTCATAGGTGCCCGGTGGCGTAGAGGTACAGGCTCTCGTCTATCAATCTGAAGGTAGTGGGTTCGATTCCCACACCCGGCATTTCATCAGCCGACTATTTTGATTAAAATAAAAATAGTTTGGGTACCTAGGTCGACTCAGCCTTAAATGAGTACTTGGGATTCACAATCCTGAGGTAATAATAGGCGGTTGAAGCGTAGTGCTAGCCACTACCTTCCTTGTATACCGAACGGCTCTACAAGGCGTATCATGGCAAGCCGTACCTTGCTACTCCCAAGGCGTTAAACGGAAGCTATTATTATAGGTTTGTAATTCCGCGATTTTCCTCAATTGACAGCTCCACATGTCACGCACGTTTATAGCAATAATTGATTGCACTGCAAATCAGTGACAATTATGTCATTTCTATTCCTTAATGTTTATTAAGACATCGTAGAAAAGAAATTCAACGGAAAACAGTAGGAAAATAGCATATTCAAATCTAGAAAGATATTGAAATATAATAATATAGATATCTGATGACCAACTACATCGAAATTACCAACTGTCAAACCGATTGGTAGCATTCATTCCTGATCATTGGTTCAATCAGTCAACCACCACCAACAAAATTGACAAAAAAACTTTTAGTTCACATCACTGTTGTATGAACACTATTGAATTGAATGTAGAATGTTTAGGAGGGGGTTAATCACCGCGACCTTACAGATCTATTGTGTTTCCCTTTCTTGAGTTATAACGAGTTATAACTCATCATACAGTCTCAGGACTTCCACGAAAGCCAGCATCTGAGACGGCTCCACCAGAGGTCAGCTCTCCATCTCCAACAACAACCGTACCAAAGTTTATGGCATGAATAGATGTCGTCTCGGCGCACTCAGTGATAAAGTGTTCTGGTGTTTCCACATTTTCCAAAGAATCTGCATTCGCCGTTTTTTCTCAGCTTCAATCTACTGAGGTGTTCGTTGAGAAGACAGTGTCCTGAAGATTGCTCTTACTTAAATCAAGGATAATTTTTGGTTTTTCTCGGTCGTAAGTTCTGAGAAACTTTTTTGAGTGTCTTAGACCGCTGGAGGATTCCCATTCTAGGTTACGGATGGAGTCTTCTATATTCATGAGTCTAACTTT